CTCTTTTCCCTTATCCCAGTTGTTCTTTCCTATTTGGGCAGTTTCTTTCCCTTTCACAATATGTGTTGTACCTTTCATATTTTATTTACTCTTTCAGGTTCTTATGCTAGGGAGGCAGTACGATTTTTACACATGTGAGTCTGATTTCACTTATGAGTATGATCTCTAGTTGCATCCATTTACCTATAAAAAATCTTGTTTATCTGTCTTTATAGCTGAGTAATACTCCATTGTATAAAAATACATTGTTTTTTTACCCATTCCTCAGTTGACATTTGGGTTGATAAGGGGACCATTCTAAACTGTGAAATCACCAAAAAAAAGTACAAAGGAACATGACAGTGAATAGACTGATAAAAGGGCACAGTCGGAAAGCTGAAAGCAAAAGGCAGCCTATCACCCAGGTCAGCCTCAGCTGGGAACATGACTCAGGCAGCTCAGACTTTTCATTGTTCTGTGCATATCCTTGAATAACCATGAGTGCCTAGTACTGATTTCTTGGATTACAAATAAATTTTAGTAGGCAGGCAAGTTCACCAATATGGCACCTTCAAATAATGAGATCTGACTGGAATTCCTTTCTAAAGCACTGATCTCCTGGGAGCGTCTCCACAAATGCAGGTGATAAATGCTTAGCTAAAGAGCATTTGTTCCCTGGGAGCATGTTACTGAACAAACGTTGTTACAATATAGAAACCTCATAAGGATAACAATAACTGAGCTATATTAATACCCTTACAGAAGAACCTTATTCTGTGTGAATCACTGTTTCCATGGGAAAGCGTATTCCAAATTCCAACTGGAATGCACACATCCTTTGCTTCCAGGACCTTCCAGTAATGAGTGATCCACCACACTCATCTACAATGTAGGACTTCCATTTTCCCCTGTAGTTGATTCCAGGGCTGGGTATAGAACTGGACTGGGAAGGGTATAAAGGACAGATCACAGTTGCAGCTCTACAGACAACTGCTAGGGGCTTCTGCTGGGAAGATGGGACCTGGGTTCTTTCATGAGTTAACACTGGTTTTTGGAGAATCTTGGAATGATTGTCAGTACAGCCCAAAGTCCCACAGAAGCTGTCTTCTCCGGAAACGATGGCTCTCCTAGAAATAAGACCTGGGGCAGGCAGGTCCATTGATGTGCTTCATGAAGGCTTTTCCTATCTGCCTTAAGGTTCCAACTGTAAAAGCCACAAAACAGAAATGCAGGCGCTGGTCTTCTCTGTGTAATGAGCCATGGCAGGAAGTCTCTGAACTTGAATTCAAGAACTTGAATACTTCGCATGTTTATTATGAAGCAGTGTTACTTGTGCTCAGTGTTTTCATACAAGATTACTTGTAATATTGAACAGATGTGTGTGTGTGTGTTTTATGTTCATTTTTATTCACGTAATGACTAAAAGGTCATCATGCAATAGTGATGATTCAGATAGGAAAATATGTGCTAGTATACTAAAGACTAAATGGGAATGTAACATGTAGATGAGGATCTAGAATAGTCAAATGCATAGAAATAGAGAATCGAATGATATTTGCCACAGGCTGGGCACGGAAGGGAAATGGACGTGTGGTGTTCATGGCATGTGAGGTGTCAGTTATACGAGGTGAAGGAATTCTGGAGGCCTGTTCTGCAGCACTGTGCCTGTAGTTGGCAGCGTTGGGCCCTTGAAAATGTGTTAAGTGGACACGTCACATGTTCTACTACTTCTAAAATTTCAGTCCCTGGACTTTGTTTTAAATAATAGGTTTCTTTGGGAGGGGAGTAATAAGATCTGCAGACTTTTTGGGTAGGTTTCTCAAGTTAAAAGATTTTTAATGAAAAATAGACTAGATGTGTTAGACTTTAATTCAGATTTTTAATTTAATAAAGCAGTGTATTAATGTCTAACCATTTTTATACGTTTTTCCCCAAGAAAGAATAATTCATGTTCTATTTTTAGTAAATAGAGTGCCTAGCATCATACAAGGAAACAGTCTTGCAAGTCAGAACTCTTCTATTTCTTTCCTTAAACGTTCTCTGGGTTGGGAGCCAGCTGCATATGCAACACTTTTTTGGAATTTCAACCATGCAGGAGCCAATTGAAGACTCAGAAGTATAGCTGCAAAGGAACTTGCTTAACTTTGTTTACTGGGTTTTGTACATTTTTTTGTCATGGGAACCCATTTTTCCCAGGGCCTCATAACTAAGGAACACAGTTATGGGAATCAGTTGCTCTTTGGCAAAATGGCCTCTCTCTCTGGCTGTCTCCTTCTCTCTTTGTCTTTTCCCTCTCTCTCTGTCTCTCTCTCCCTCCCTCCCTCCCTCCCTCCCTCCCTCTGAGTGTGTGGGTGTGTGTATGAGTGTGTGACTGTTGGAGTCCCTCTCTCCCTGTGTGTGTCTGTGTGGGGTGTTTGTACAGCTTAGGGTGCACACACACACCCCACACACACAGACACACGTGTATATATAGGGAAAATAACACTCAGATTTATAGTCCTTTCTTGTTTTCAGAATGACCAAAAGGTAGTTTTTGTATTTTGGTCCTTCTCCTTCACTTCATACATACTCCACCTCATCCACCTAAGTGACCAGGTGGCCCAGAACTGTCCTTTACAACAATGTATAAGGGGCAAGATACTGTTCACAGTAAATATTATTTTATAAGAAAAGTTTTTAGCATTAAGTAAGATTTTCATATTAATTATTAATCCTGAAACACCAGTACTATTACAAAGCTTAAGTCCAAATGTTTTCTTAATCAAATCAATGTTTATTGCATCTTATAAACTACAACTTTTTTAAAAAACAAAGAGGAAGAACACAAAACAGTGGACAAACAAAGAAAATACTAGATTAATTATAAAGACTTACCATGGGAATAGTTGAGTTTTTCTAAGAACTATGCATAATTGATTGTTAGCATAATAACATTCAAACCAAAAGATGAAACTAAGACATTTGATTTGACTAAATGAGAATGCTGGGCATATGAAAACCCTGCTGAAAAATAGAAAATCAAGCACGTGGTGAAGACAGGAAGTATAACTAAAGGTTACGGTTTATATTGTTCTAACAACTCTAATAAAATTAACGACTCCACTAATTGCGAAAGGAAAAGTATTTCATCCAGAGGGAAGTTGTCGGCCTTCAAAAAAATGCATTTCCTTCAGCGGTGCCCACCTGTGCTGATGCAGTGCTTGTGAGGACATTTCCGCAGGCGGACCGCACTCTCCATCCTGCAGGGAGGCAGGGGGTACACTGGAAAAGGGATGCAAAGTGAGTTAGCAGGACATCTTGTCAGCTGTTTTAAAACTGTTAATATTCAGTGCAGGCAAGGCTATGGGAATTGGTTCTGTTATTTAAGATCCCTAAAATGATAGGAAATTTTTTTCTTTCCTTTTTTAAACCTCAGAACTACCCTGATGAAAGAGTTCACCAAAAAAAGAGACAGAAAAAATAGCGTATACATTGAACAGTAGGGCTTGAGCAGTAAAAATGTTTAATCTAGCAGGTCATAGCGTAATCAAATTTATTATTATGAAAGTAGTAGTAGTAACATGAAGCATTGCCATAACTGGTAAAGTCAGTTCTGTAAAGTAAGTAGGCATGTAGCCAGGTGCACGCCTGTAATCCTAGCACTCTGGGAGACTAAGACAGCAAATGCGAGCCCAGTCTGGGCAACTTAGTAACTTAGTGAGACCCTGTCTCAAAATAAAAAAATAAAAGGGTAAGGATGTAGCTCAGTGCAAAGGCCCTGGGTTCAATTCCAGTACTGGAAGAAAAGTAGGAATGTGGACTCTAATGATAGATTATGATCTATTAAAGCTTGTTTTGTTTCATGTAATATTTTAAATAATGATATTATGTAATAAATACCGATTTCCTTTATTATATATGATATTTTCTCCTTTTTAGCTAACTGCAGACTGCCTTCTGCGTGTCCCCAAAACCAGAGACATGACCTGACACCCTGATGACCACTCTCAGGGCCTTTGGGTGACTGGCCAGTGCACCATGGAACTTAAAGTATGGGTGGATGGAGTCCAAAGGATCGTTTGTGGGGTTACAGAAGTCACAACTTGCCAGGAGGTTGTAATAGCCTTGGCTCAAGCTATAGGTAAGTGAACTCTGTGGGTGGCTGAGATAAAGTACTTTATGACTCCTTTTAGGGGTGTGTGTGTGTGTGCGTGCGCACGCACGTGTGCACGCGCATGCGGTTTATTTAAATGTAAGTCTTTAGTGGATTTTGCTAATTCAATTCCATAATAAAGCTCACAGATAAGGCATGCTCTGCTTATTGCCATTTGCCCATGTTTGGAAAATCTGTGGTGTTTGTTCTCTGATCCTCTCCACTCCCCCAAACTTAATTGACCTCACATCTAGCGTCAGCACGGTCTTCTCACTTGATGTTTATTCTAGACAGTGATTTGTGGAACGATAGGTGTTTTCTTAATCCAAAACATAGATTCCTAGTTCCCAGAACCCCTCACAAGGAAAAATCCTATTATTGTCAATTTCCCAATACTTTTAGAAAAGATAATACAACAAATTAAAAAACATGATTCTTCATTAGAAAGATAACATACATTTTTTTAAGTCTTACTGTACAGTGAAAAAGAAGTTGTCTTGTACACATTTACTGGCACATCTCCTGGCTCCATCTTATCCTTCTCACAGGTTCCACTATTTCTACTAATTTGTTTTATCTTTATCATAGTTTGTGTATGTTTATTAGTTACATTAACTGTTTCTGGAACATGATGAAGGTGTAAACACCTGTCTCAGTGAAACGAGTAATGCGGGTTAAAGTTTCTGTGCATATCTCCAGTAATTTGTAGCAAACATGAACTGAGAGGAAATTGTGTGTCCATACTTCCTTGTTGAGCACCTTATCAGAAGTTTATTTTATGCTTCCTAGTTTGTGTTGGAAGCGTGTCAAGCTAGATCAAGATTGAAATGAGTCACTCGGTTGCCAGTGCACGGTAGCATTTGATAGAGGTGATAGTGCCACCCAGGTTGCGGCAGGTGAACTGTTAGAAGTTGGCAGGGTCCTGTGCCAAGATAAAATCTTTTTTTTAGTAGCAATAGGGTTTCATTTTTTCCTAAATACTGTAGCACTCTAATGTATTAAAATAATACTCAGAATACTAAGTTCTCACATCCAATGAAATTTCCTTGCAACTGAGACTTGTATTATATTTGTCAACGAGTTTAATTACTGAAAGGGGGAAATTAACATATTTCATTTTATTCCATATTTTTATTTAATAAAAACTTACTTAATATTTATGCCTCATAAGAACCTCACATAATTTATTTCAATTAAAATATACTGCTTGGTTTTTTTCTTTGTAAGCACTATCAATTTTCAAACCTACATTTCTGTTATCTTTGAGAATCAAGCCATGCACAATGCTAAAAAACAGTTTTTACAGAGGTCAAAGTAGTCGAGTCATGCTACATGCTACATCTGTCCATATGGTAATCACATTTTATGCACAGAATTTCAAGGGCAAACGTGCCACTTCAGCCTTATCCACCTCTACCCTTTTACAATATGCTGTATCCTTTCACTCCCCTGCTCAAAACCTTGTAATGGGTTCTTGTCTCAGAAAATTTCAGATCCATGTAATGATCTGTAGGGCCATAAATAAATCCCCACTTACTCTTACCGATCTCATCTTGTCTCGTACCGCTCTTTTAGAGCGTCCCCTCTTAATGTACCAGGCACATTCCCACCTCAGCCTTTGCATCTATTTTTCTCTCTGTTGAGAATACCCTGCCCTCAGATATCAAAGCCCTCTCCGAACACTGTGTTCATGCACACAAGCACGCACCTGTACACATGTAATCCCTGTCTCAAACACTTCTTCGTAGCACTTACCCTTCCTGATATATTATGTATAGGCTGCTATACCTTACCCATGTTATGAAATCTAAAAAATTCTGAAATCCTCAAGTTTATTATATTTCATTTGTTAGCAATATCTGGCATGCCTTGAACTCACTTAGTGGTAAAAATTGACCTGATTTGATCTAAGGCTGTTGTAAATCTGTATTTATTCCATACAAGATGAATACTAGTACATTGTACTTTAGAAATTTCAAAAATCTTTATTATAAAACCTGAAGGACAGCACCGTGCTACTTTTCTAAAATCTAAAAAAATACTAGAATTTCAACACATGTGACTTCAGAGCTTTTGGATAATGGACTTCATTTATTGGTATAATGTCTGTCACCTGCCACTGTTACGGGATTGCTTATTTCCAATGCTTAAACCATATTTTCAATGTAGTAAGCATTTGACCTTTCTATTTACAACCTTCCTGCAACCACCTGGGGATGCAATAGTTTACTACAGTTCTGAAATTGTCCACTTGGAGTTAGCATCTGACAAGGTTCAGTCCTCCAAGACTACCCCTGCATGAGGCACTAGCCATAGATCCAGAGCCACCCGTACTTCTGGCTGGCCACTTATGACTTGGGGATTCTGCTAAACCCTTCCTAGGGTTCAGTAATTTTTTGCAGTGATCCAGGAAAAGGATTTCCATATTTATTACGAGTCTGTCATAATGAACCAGTCATCAGAAAGGATACAAGTTAGGAACAGCCAAAGGGAAGAGATGCAAAGGACAAGGAATGGGGCATCTTAGCATTTGATAAGATATGGAGGGGCTTGTGCATTCTTCCACCCTTCCCAGACCTAGGTATGTTCACCAGCCCAGCAGCTCTCTGAACATCGTTTCAGGGTATTTATGGAGATTCCATTATATAGATATGATTGAGCAAATCATTGACCATTGAGGATTAATGCGATCTCCAGCCCCTCTTGGAGAATAACAGAAAGTTCCAACCCTCTGATCACTTGGTCAGTTCCTCTGGCAACCAGGCCCCACCCTGAAGCTGTGTAGAGGTCCATCAGGAACCGGCTAATTAGGTAAACTTGGATAGGGTAGAAAGGGGTTCTTATGAAGACAAAAAAAAATTCTTACCACCCCTAGTATTCAGGAAATGCCAGGGCTTTTCAAAGCTCTTTGTCAGAAACTATGGACAAAGACCAAATATATCTATTATATCACAGTAGTTAGTACATATTTGTGAATAAATAAATGAATTTTTAAGGTTTTTTTCTATAAATATGATGACTACCTGATGTCCCATCCATCTCTATGATTACATAATCCTTTAAAATTAAGAATATAACTTAGCCATATTTAACTTCTAATTTCACATGTAAATTATCAATGTTAGAAATTAACAAAATGATTCATTTGTATCTGTTTATGAAGTAAGATTCATTATCCACCATTTTGAAATTTAGAAAAATACAAAAACAGTAAAAGAATCACTCATGATCCTGCTTCCTAGAACTAACTACTGTCAAAGGCAAAGTTACAGCAAATTTAGCTTTAGGACTTTAATAAATTTTATTTGCAATTCTAGAAATGGGCAACAACTTACTCAGTAAAGTGGAATAAGTGTTCCAGCAGGCTAACCTGAGAGGGGTGTTTTTATGGGGGGGGGGTTCAAATAAAAATAAGATTAAAGAAAAAAAAAGCAGGTTGGTCATTTCAGAGTTACTGTCCTTACAGGCAGGTCCTTACGCTGCTGGCTAGGCCTGCCTTATTTGAGATGTAGCTGTTATCTCTCTTTCTCCTGATGTCTCAGAAGATAATATAAACACCTTGACTTAGTGATGGTTTGGTCTTCTGGGCCCAGTACTGGAGCTGAATCCAAACCAACAGCATCCTATAAATTGTATTTAGCAATACCACAAGCAATGTTTCTAGGGTACCTGTGGGTGAACTTTGAAAAACATGGGTTATACCCTTCATATACTCTTCTGTGATTAAATATTCTCAACACACTGGAAAAATGTACTATGAATGATTTAACTATGGGTTGAATGCACAACTGATACCTACTCAGATATAGCCTACTACTAATATCTACTCAGATATAATTTTTTATTATATCATTGTCAGGATAAATACTTTGTGGTAAGAGTTATCATAATAATTTCACTGAGAAAAAAAAAGATAATTTCACTAAGACTTGAATAGTCTAACCCTAAAAATCCATTGATAAATCTGTAAAGTGTCTGTATATCATCAAAAAATATGTTAATTTTTAATTTCTTTACTGATTTTTAATTTCTTTACTAATTTTTAATTTCTTCACTGATAAGGTTATTCATATCTGTACTGGTTGACTCATGGAACCAACCAAGATGATATCTATCTACTATGAATATATATATATATATATATATATATATATCTTTATGTATAATATACATAACTATATACATAGATAAGCTATATACATAGAGATATAGCTATGTACATAGATACATGCATCAAAAGTATTTTATAGACTATACAATGATACAGTGTAAGTTCTGTTATAGAAATCAACACTACCCATAAGAATTTTAAGTCATAATGGAAAGTATATGCTCTAGATTCTACGTGAGAATCCTGAAATGTGCAATAGATTTTATAAAATTCTCATCAAGGAGCAAAGCGTGTTAGTGGAAAAATTCAGTGCTACCAGGTATCTTATTCACCACAGATTTTTTAAAAAGGCAAGTGTTACTAATATTTCTAATATGTCCAGAGACATGAAGCTATGTTAGCCTTAAATTCATTAGAGATTAGTGCCAGCTATCCTGTCATCTTGAATAATATGCAGTGTTCATCTTCAGGATAGGAAAGATTTCATACTGAAGGAAAAAATCAAATATCAGTTAAAACTTAAAAAGAGGATTAGTGATGAAGGTGTTTAATAGACTCTACCACATCTCTAGGGCCTGACACTATTTCTGATAAATATTTGCTGGTCAGTATACATTTGTTGAAGAAATAACAAAGTGTAACTTTTAGGTGAGGATTTTGTGTTATGACTCTGAAAGCAATTGTGAAAATCATTGTGATTCTTTAAATGGTTGAAATAAGCATATAAGTTTTAGGGTGACCTATGGTTCAGTATTTGAGTTTTGGTGTATATTTTCAAGATTTTCATGTTACTTCATAGTGATACTATCAGTTGGGTGAAAGTAGTATATTATCCTGTGTCCTTTTGATTTGTGTGAGTCTTTCAGTAATATTCCATGGTACCTTAAAATTTCTGTATGTGATTTTAGTCACTGTATGAAGTTAATGATTCTTGGGATTAATCTCAATTGTTTCAGCTATTTATAAGTAAAATCAGTATTTTATTTACCATCACTTAATTCAGTGACACCTATCTAACAGTGGCACATAGTCCATGATAGATAGTTTAAACTACAGATGCCATAGGCAGAGACAGACAATCGAGATGTTCCTCTACATTAGGTTTACAGCTACACCAAGACAGTATTCAAGGTGGAACTAAACGTAGCCACTTAATAAAATGCATCCAAGTGAGTTGGGCAGGAGTAATCAGAATCTATTTAAATGAAAGGATCTTTGTGGCCTTGTCAACTCTGGAATGTGAAAACAGTGACTGTGGGATTGAATACCAATACAGAATATTTAAAACTCACCTCTTACAATAAAATCAAATGTATGTGTTCATTTATTTTTAAAAAAATTTATGTTGGATGGAGTATTTTCTTTTTGCCAGTGGTGCAGATGTGCATGAGGTAACCAAAGAGAAACAGCAGCAGTGAAGGCAAATCTAAGAGCTTTCTACCAGGACATTCTCAGCAGATAACAGTACCATTAAACGTTGGAAAACTCAGCTTTATACATAACTGCTACTACACTTAAGGACTTCAGAATTTTTCATATAGCTTGTATAATATGATGACTCAGTTTTCTTTTTAAAATTCATTGTTGACCTGATGGAATTGGAGGAGTCTCTCCCTGTCTGATCTGACCTTCATGTCGCTGATGGGGCCATAGAGGTCCAAAGCAAAGGAGCAAGGTGTCTACAGTAATGGATGGGCGGGGAGCCGGGAACAAAAGTGCTGCGATCGCGAAGCACTTCGAAACCCGCGGGACAGTTTAACCTTGCAGGTGTATCAGTGGTTGTACGTGGCACAATGATGGTAATTTTTAACAAAACCGTTAGAAACACTGCACATTCCAAGAAGCCAGTCCAGTGTGCTGTAGCTTTCTTTTTCAGTCTTCTTATTTGCCTCTTATTTTGATGATAGGAACATATTTATACAGCACTTTTCAGTCTTACAGAACTTTTTTTTTGAGACAAGGTCTTGCTGTGTAGTTCAGGCTGGCCTTGAACTCACTATGTAGACCAGGCTGGCAATGCTCTTGCCTCAGCCTCCCAAGTGCTGGCATTATGGGCATACACTACCCTACCTGGCTTACAGAGCATTTTTATACTGTATATTCTCACTTGAGTCTCAAAACAACCTTGTCAGGTATGGAAAGAATACTCTTAACAGACCAGGAGACTGAAGCTGAAGAAAATTTAGTAATTTGTTCAAGCACAGAAATAGATAACAGAGTTAGTTTGAACACAGCCCTCCGACTCCTAAACTCCTAATCCTAAATCCTAAACCTCCGAACACAGCCTTCCGACTCCTTTCTGTTCTATCCAGCTTTACACATAGTTAGAAGTTGTTTAAGAATTTTAAGTCAGATTACTGTTACAACACATCACTGTTGAGGTGTGTCTGGTCATCTCTATGAAGATAACCGTGTATTAAGGTAATAATAGCTGCCTTATGTTGAATGTCTGTGGTGGGTCAGGCAGTGTGGTAGTTGCTTGTTACATCTGATGCTTAAAATCTACAATGCATTTTAGAAGTAAAGTTTTGCAGCTTATCTGGTAATTTACCTAGGATGAAAACCCCACTTACTATATTTGCCTCCAAAGTCCCAATTTTTCATCTGCACCTGAGATTGAGGTTTCTTAAAGGAGAACATGCCCCCATTTTTACAGCATAATCGTTCTTTATATACTGCTCTGAATTGTATATGATTGAGGGTTCATATATATGCATCTAGATACCTGTTTAGAGATGCAGTAATCAACAAAATACAGTACTGCTATTATTTCAGAAGTTCATGAAGGTTGCAAAAGAAGGCAGGCAAGGTAAGTCAATAGTCGTGTATGCCAATAAAATCACTACATGGCAGGGTCAGATTTTCTTCTTTATAATAATATTAACTACTAATGTACACTTTTAGCAAAATGAAAACACCCTCTCACCTTAAATGGAAATGTCAGAAAGTCTTTTCAAGTTTATAACTTTAAATTGTTTTCTGAAACTTTTATCTAAATTCCGTAATTAATAGATTCAGTATATTTTTTAATTTAAATGTAATTTTAGTCTTTTGTTTTTCATAATAAAAAATATATATTTTGCCTTTGTGGGTTTTTATCTTCTTAGAATAGTCTGTAACTTTTACTATCAAGGTTGACCAAGGCCTCCTTTTCAGGCTTCTTTCTGTATAGAGCTATTCTGAAGAGTTGTGATTGGTAGTTGGCCACAGGGGTGTGGGAAGGCTCCAGCACTGTGAGCTGTGGGTTGACCACACACTTAAGGAGACAGGCAGAGACCAGCAGCTGTCTGTGAGCCAAGTGGCACGTTCTCGGTTGGCTCTGTGTCTCCCTTCAGAAGCGAGGCCTCCAGCCTCCCAGGGCCCTGTTGTGTATAGAGGGGTTAATGAAAAATGGACCAGAATCTAAAATGTGACTTTGTAATACATACCATGAGTGCACAGTTATCAACCGTAGCACTTTGGGAGGCAGAGACAGGAGGATTGCAGGTTCAAGCCCAGCCTGGGCAACTTGGCAAATTAGCAAGACCCTGTCTCAAAATAAAAAACAGGTTGGCTGTAGCTCGGTGCACAGACTGTAGGTTCAGTAACCAGTGCCATTAATTTTCTTTTTTTTTTTTTCTTGGTATCAGGAATTGAACTCAGGACCTTGCACTTGCCAGGCAGGCGCTTGTGCCACTGAGCTATATCCCCAGCCAACCAGTGCCATTAAAAAGGGCACAGTTAACAAATGGTATCATTTGTTCCATTATTTAACTATTACATATTTCATTCTAATGCTTTATTATTGTCTTTTTGCCTAGGTCGAACTGGAAGGTACACCCTTATAGAAAAATGGAGAGACACTGAAAGACACTTAGCACCTCATGAAAATCCTATCATCTCCTTAAACAAATGGGGGCAGTACGCTAGCGATGTGCAGCTCATTCTGCGTCGAACGGGGCCATCTCTCAGTGAGCGGCCCACTTCGGATAGTGTGGCTCGGATTCCCGAAAGAACTTTATACAGGCAGAGTCTGCCCCCCTTAGCCAAACTGAGGCCTCAGGTGGACAAGTCAATCAAAAGGAGAGAACCTAAGAGGAAATCACTGACCTTCACAGGAGGTGCCAAAGGATTAATGGACATTTTTGGAAAAGGCAAAGAAACTGAATTTAAGCAGAAGATGCTGAGTAATTGCAAAACCACAGCAGATGAGTTGAAGAAACTGATCCGTTTGCAGACAGAGAAGCTTCAGTCCATTGAGAAGCAGCTGGAATCTAATGAAATAGAAATACAGTTTTGGGAACAAAAATATAATTCTAACCTTGAAGAAGAAATCGTCCGCCTGGAGCAGAAGATCAAAAGAAATGATGTAGAAATTGAGGAGGAAGAATTTTGGGAAAATGAATTGCAGATTGAACAGGAAAATGAAAAGCAGCTGAAGGATCAACTTCAAGAAATAAGACAGAAAATCACAGAATGTGAAAGCAGATTAAAGGACTATCTGGCACAGATCCAGACCATGGAAAGTGGCCTGGAAGCAGAAAAACTGCAGCGGGAAGTTCAGGAGGCACAAGTCAATGAGGAAGAGGTCAAAGGGAAGATCGGGAAGGTCAAAGGGGAAATAGACATTCAAGGCCAGCAGAGCCTGAGGCTGGAAAATGGTATTAAAGCTGTGGAAAGGTCACTTGGACAGGCCACCAAGCGGCTACAAGTAAGAACATTTTTATAAAGTGGGTGTTTCATGTACTTAAAAGAATTAACACACTCGGAATCTTCTGTCATACTTGTGTCTCTTATTTTTAAAGGCTTTAATTTCTCTGTATTGAAAGAATTAGAAGCCTAGGTAAGTTTAAAACTCTTAGAGAATCCTTTGATGAAAGAGAGAGGGAGCTTACACGTGAGACCAGAACAATACAAGAGTAACGCCACACTCACCCTTGCTCTGTGGAAGAGGCTTTGTCACTGTGCCAGTTGTGGCCTGAGCCAGCTGGATGGAAGACTGAGCATATAGTCTCAGAGCTGGAGTGGACACTAACGATAAGATAGTGCATCTGACCTCCTTTGGGAATCTGAAGCCAAATGAGATTGTCACAGCTTGGTCAACCAAGGCCAGTTGATTGCCTGTCTGTCTCTGTTTCTTTCTTGCCAATCTGTTTTTGGCCCCAAGATTTAGATCTGTTCCCTCCTTTCCTCTGCGTGGTACCCTCCTTTGCTTTCCTGAGGAGAAGGGCACAGAGGACCCTCTCCAGGCTTGCCCCTCCCCAGTAGGTATTTCACCACTTAGATCCTGATCGTTCATTTTTCTTCTCACCCTTTCTTGAAGATACTGTAATTGTGATCTGGGCATAGTGAAGATATATAAAACCATCTCTAAATGATGAGGTAAGAAGCAGATACAACTGATTATAGCATGGCTATTAAAGTAAATATTCAACAAATTATGTTAAAATACCAGATAATTTTAAAATTCTGTGTTTAATCACAGCCACATTTCAGGGTTACAGTAGCACATGTGGCTGGCTGTTGTATTGGACAGCACAGATACCAATGTTTCCTTCATAGCAGGAGGTCCTATAGTACTGAGCTGGCTTGGCATTCAAAGCACAGTCCAGGACAGGCAGCCTCAGGCACACTTGTTCATCAGAATCTGTGTCCTGAAGAGATCCCCAGTCTTACCTGTGCACGTTGAAATTGCAGAAGCTACTTTAGTGCAAACACAAATCAGAGAAATCCCACAATCAGAGAAAGCTGACATGTCAAGAGTTGCTGTGAGTTTCTTTCTCTCTTAGTCACTGTAGTGAGAGGTAAAAGAGGTAAAACTGCAGCTAAAATTTTGAAAATCAGGAATTTTTCTTGCAATAGAAAGTTGTTAGCCTCTGATTTATCAGTATTTTACTTCTGTGTTTCATTTTGACATTTAAAAAGGGATGCATTGGAAGTTACATTGCCTTTGGTGTTATTTATAATGAAACACTCATTTGCAACAATCATTACTAGTAAATCCCACCACCCATTGAAAAGTGTCTAATAATCAAATTACTAACATCACTAACTACCCCCCTTACTCAAAGTAACCGCACTTCTTTTTTCTTTCTTCAATTCTATTTTTGAATATTATTATTTTAGGGGGCTGGGTATATAGCTCAGTGGCACAGCGCCTGCCTGGCCAGCGTGAGGTCCTGAGCTCAATTCACAGTACCCAATAAGTAAACAATTTTTTTAATTTTATTGATACCTTTTAGATATACATAATGATAATATTCATTATAGGGAATTCGTACCCATTTGTGACAAATCTTACTGCTGCTTTTTTCTCCATTCCCCACCTGCTCCTTTCAACCTTTCTTCCCCTCCTTATTTATGAAAGCTTTGTCTCCATTTTTTCTTTCTATTCTTTTTTTCTTGTTCCTTCTTTTAATTTTCCCCTCCTTTGTTTCCCTTTTCATTTGAATATTTTCTTCCCATTTCCCAAGATCTAGTATACATTTTAATCCTTATTTACACTTTTGGTTTTTCACACCAGAGAAACAATGCCATGTTTAAACATGTGTGACTGATTTATTTCACTGAAGAGTGTGGTCTCAGGGTGTAGCAATTTAACTAGAAATGTCTCAAGTTTCTCATTCTGCATGGAAGAGTAGTACTCTGTTGTATAAAAACAAACCACATCTTTGTCCACTCATCAGTTGATGGGCCTTTGGGCTGTTTCCAAGATTTAGCTATTACAAACTATGCTGCCATAAACATGGGTGTATACATATCACTGTGGTGTGCTCCTTTTAATTCTTTCAGGAAGATACCAAGAAGGGGAATAGCTGGATTGAATGGGACCTCTAGTTTTAGTTTTCTGACAAATCTTCATACCGATTTCCATGGTGGTTGCACCAGTCTGTAATCCCACCAACAGTGAAGAAGGGTTCCTTCTTCCCCACAGTCCTGCCAGCATTTGTTATTCATTGATTTCTTGATAATAGCCATTCTTTCTGGGGTGAGATAGAATCTCAGCATTGTTTTAATTTGCATCTCCTGAATAACCAGTGATGTTGAACATTTTTTTGTATATTTATTTGCCATTTCTACTTCATCTGAGAAGTATCTGTTCATTTCAGATGCCTGTTTTTTGATTGAGTCTTTAAATTTGGGGGAATCTGATCTTTTGAGTTCTTTATATATTCTAGATACTAGGCCTCTATCTGAGGAATAGCTGGCAAATTTTTTTCCCACTCTGGATTGTCTCTTCAATCTCTTGGTGGTTTCTTTTTCTCTGCAGAAGCTTTTCAATAAGAAGAGATCCCAGTTGTTGATTCTGTGTGATAGTTCCTGTGCAGTCAGGGTTTTATTCATAAATTCTTTGCCTAAACCAATGTCTTCAAGAATTCTTTGCCTATTTCTCTCTTCCTGCAGATTTAGGGTTTCTGTTTCAGTATTTAGATCTTTGGTCCATTTCAGTTATAGTTTAATGCATGGTGAAAGATACAGGTCCAGTTTCAATCTTTGGCATGGGGAAAGCCAGTTTTTAGCACCATTTATTAAAGAGGCTATCTTTCTTTTAGTGAAGATGTTTGGCTCCTTTGTCAAAGATAAGGTGGCTTCTTTAATTTTACCTGTGACCTATTGGTTTTTCAGGAGGGTGTTACATAATTTCCATGTGCTTACTCTGCCTGGGAAGTTTTCTACCATTACTTCTATGAATAGGTTTTTTTGTTGTTGTTGTTGTTTTATTTCATTTGTGCCGCTATTTCCTGCTTTTTCATTGACTCCCATCAGTCTTATGTTATTCTTCTTTCTGTCATCTAGCAGAACTATGGGATGACAGGAATTTATGAGACACAATGAAAGCAGTCCTAGGAGGGAAATTTACAGTGGTGAATTCCCATATCAGAAAAACATAGAGAGGCAAATAAAGAACCTAATATTGAACCTCCAGCTTTTAGAAAAAGAAGAGCAAGTCAAGCCCAAAGCTCATATGAGGGAGGAAATTATAAAGATCAGAGCAGAAATTAATGCAATGGAAACTAAGAAAACAGTATAAAGAATCAAATTAAAGAGGTGGTTCTTTGAAAGATTCAGTAAAATTGACAAACCCTTAGCCAACCTTATCAAAAAAAGGAAAGATTCAAATCCGTGCAATTAGAAATGAAAAGGGTGAAATCAGAACAGATCCTGCACACATCCAGAACATCAATACCTACTTTGAGATCCTATATTCTAATAAGATGGAAAACAGAAAAATTCCTAGATACTTAAAATTACCAAAGCTGAAACCAGAAGATACAAAAATTCTAAATAAACTAAATTAAGTTGATGAAATTGAAGATATAATTAGAAATTGTAGAAACTGTAATTTCTTCTTTAATTTTATCTGTGACCCATTGATTGTCCATAAGGGTGTTATTTAATTTCCATGTGTTTATGAAGTTCTTGAATTTCCTCAAGTGTCATCATAGAAGTATCTTATTTCTCATCACTTGTAAAAGATAGTTTTGTAGGTTATCTTCTTTTAAGACTTGAAATACTTAACTCCACGCTCTCCTTGACTTGAGGATTTGTGTTGAGAAGTCTGTGATTCTGATGAGCTTTCCTTTATAGGTGATTTATTTCTTTTCTCTAACAGCTTTTAATATTCTCTCCTTAGGTTAAGTTTTTGAAATCTTGACTATTATATGCCTTGGTGTAGCTTTTTCTTTGATCATGGCTAATTGGCATTCTATGTGCCTCACTCAGGTGTATGTCAAATTGTTTTACTCTGCCTGGAAAGTTTTCTGCCATTACATCTATGAACAGGGATTTTTTTTGTTTTTATCTCATTTGTTCTATCTCCTCCTTTTTTCATTTACTCCAGTCAGCCTTACGTTATTCTTCTTTCTGTCACCTAGCAGTTGTTGGATTTATTTCTTGTGGTCCTTTGCTATTTTTAAGAAATCTCTCTTTTCATGATCACTAACCACAATCCTGTCTTCCATATCTGATATTCTATCCTCACATTGGTTTATTCTGCTGCATATACCTTCAGTGGAATTTTTAATCTCCTAGATGTCTGTTTGAATCTGTTTCATGGATTCCATTTGTTTGCTATGTTGATCATTCATGGTTTCTATCATTTTCTTAAACTCTTCTATTTTTTATCTGTATCTGCTCTAAGTCACTAAGCAGGATTTTCATTATGGTCACCATCTCTGTAGTTATCTGAGAAATTATTTCTGATTCAATTTTTTTCTTAGAGCCTTGTTCATCTGTTTTGTTACTTCTGCTGTTACCACTTCACAGAGTCCTGGGGGTGGCTTTCAACTTGTTCTACCTCATTACCCACTGGGTTTACCTTTGGTGAACTGGAAGTTGCTTAAGTGTCTTCTCATGGTTTTGGGGGTTTTTTGTTTGTTTGTTTTAGTTTAATTCCTGGGTTAATGATTGTAAATTGCTTATGGAGAGTAGCTTTATTGCTAGTATTTAGAACCCTTAGGAAATGACTACTTCTCTGAGATATCTTCCAGGTGTAACTGGCTTTTGGGTTTTGAGTCTTTCACAAGAACCTACCTCTTCAGTTCATTAGGGATATGAACTTGCTTCCTACTTGGCTCCTGGTTTTTTGGCACTGGCCTATAGTATTGTTTATGATCCCTAGGCAGTCTTAGTCTTGGCATACCAGGAAGAACAACTGATTAAAACAATTATGTCACCTTAGGTAAAGTAGTACAGTGAGCAATAAAAATAGCATCAAACACAGCCTAGAAAATGATGAACTGTGATAACTATTAATTTACCACATTTAACTATATGAACTAGATTTGTGGCTATATAAAAAAATCAAAGAAACCAGTAAGCACACTTCTAGTGTGTCTTCCCTGAACCTAATAAATCCTTCATACATACCTGCCTGGATGGGGCTTTGTGTTTTTCCTGATAGTACAGCAGAGAAAGGACAGAAAGTGACAAGTCCTTTAAATAACAGGATGGCTCCTTGCTTTTGCCACTTCCCAGCTATCTAAACTTGATCCCCTTCTCCAGGGCTCTGTATTTCTCCCACTCTTTGTCAAGGATTTAAGAACTTCAGACTGAGAACCTTATGGGATTCTTGCTTTCTTCATGCTATAAGGTAAATCTTAACAATGGTCATTATTAAAACTTAAACAGTTTACAAAACCAAGAAATCTAAGTCTCATGGACTGAATTACTGTGACTCTGCAATCACTTATGAAGTGATTAATAGGGATGTTTGTGATCAGTTCAGCATGGTTGCTGTAATACTTAGGCAAAAATTAGTATTTTCTTGTTTTTGATGAAAGTTTATAGACATGTACTTATTTTATATGAATGCATAGTGATATTCCAGAGGAAGCATCACATGTAGTTTGAGAACAGACAGCTGAGCATGGTGGCACACACCTGTGCTACTAGCACTGTAGGTGAGTGAGGCAGGAGGATCACAAGTTTGATCCTGGAAAACGGAACTTAATGAGGCCCTTTCACAAAATAAGGATAAGTGGTGGGTGCAGAGGCCTGGTTTCAACACCCAGTACTGCCAAAAAAAGACTGAAAAGCTGTTGTCTTCCATTTGCTTGGTGTGGGGCTCATTCCACTTTCACATATTATATCCCTGTGAACCAGACTGGCTAAGTTCGCCCTTGCAAAAGCACTCCAGCCCCAGTCATTGAGGGACTATGGCAAGATGTCTTAACTGGCCAACAGTGAATCCTCAAATCAAAAAATAACAGTAATAATTTCCATCTAGGATAAAGAACAAGAACTGGAGCAGTTGACCAAAGAGCTGCGACAAGTCAATCTCCAGCAGTTTATCCAGCAGACAGGAACAAAAGTCACCGTCCTGCCAGCAGAGCCTATTGAGATAGAAGCCTCCCAAGCAGACTTAGAAAGGGGTAAGCTGCGATAAGAGAGCTTTTTCCCTGTCTTCTCCCTGGTGAACTTTGAATAAACTGCTTACGTTCAGTTAAAGTATTTTCCTGCCATTCATAGCTAACTTTTAAGTGGACTACTTAAAAAAAAATTCAACCTACTTCCTGTTTCTGAGGAAAAACAGAAACATTTATTTATTATTATATATTTATTATTAGTTATTATTTATATTATTTATTTAGGTGATCATGTAATCACCAAATTTTATTTCATTCATTTTAAGATGCTTCTTTATAAAACTTTTTCCTGAAGTATATATGGGCCATATTTATTAATTTTGAATTTAGTTTTTCAGTTCCTTATATACCTTCTTTCTTTCCTAAAAGTCTTTGTTATTAATTTGCACTGTTATTTAAAAGGCAGTTATAAATCTGTAAATACATATGGTCTAAACAACCAAAAGGAAAAAAATGCTCACCTTTTAAACATGCCACTCACTGGTTACATCACCAAACACTGGTTTATCCAGTAAACCCCCGTCTGAAATGCCCTTAGCCTTCTCCTCCCGACACCAGGGCCCACAGACATTGCAGGTCCAGGACAGGAAATGTTCTCATTTGTCAGGTTGCTAAGTGCTCCTGGTTAATGATTCTCTGTTTCCTGTGTAGAGGCGCCATTCCAGTCTGGGTCCCTGAAGCGACCTGGTTCATCTCGGCAGCTCCCCAGTAATCTTCGTATTCTCCAGAACCCTATCTCATCTGGTTTTAATCCTGAAGGCATATATGTATAACATTGTCTGTCTTTAGGGGAGAGATCCAATAAAGGTACCAAGGACTGTAGCGTTCTTTCTTCAATTTGTGCCAATGATGAACAGAGGATGTATTTCACAAGCCAATGTATTTTTTTTTTTCTTTCCTAAATTTCATACCACTTGGAGCCATACTCTGTGCACTGATGCTAAAGAACAAAGAAACTGTTTTCATGTGTCAACAGTATTGACATCTTTGTCCAGCAGCTGTAATGCAAAGCCTTCATTTTTATGTCTAGCATTTTGACATCATTAGGAAAGTATTATACTATGTATGTACATAAATAAACCATGAACTAAGAGTAAAGAGAATTATGTGACTGGCTTAGTTTAATTTATTCCATGTAACTGATGATGTGAATGTTGATGTTTTAATATTTTTGTTAATACATATCCTGTGACTTAATTGTGTTACATATTGCGCGATTATAACTTTGTGTGCATGTTGCCAGACTTCACCCATGCATCACTAATTTACCACTGCAGAAGTGTGGGGAGCTCCACCACCCACACTAACTCCAGAAGAACCCACTGTGTTTCATTTATGAACCTGTCCTAGCCATTGCTTACCTAGATAAAGTAACTGAGATTTCTTTTTAATGTGGACTTTAATCTTTCTGTACAGCATTTCCAGTATATGAGTGACCACGTAACATAACAGAAATATTATTTTCATGAGTGAAATTGCTCATATAAAAGGTTTTCAATCTTTCATATGCTGTTGAACAAAACTGTGTTGGATATCTATCCAAGTGGGCATGCGGTTTCCTAACACCTTCTGTGATTTGTTTAAGCCCTGCCGTATCGTTTATTGCCATGGATCCTCAGAATTAATGTAATACATGAATTATAGATACCTGAGGATCAGATTGGTACACTTTGGGATGCCAGTGATATTCCAAATGCTAAATTATTTTTAATTTTTCACTAATATTTGTAGTACATAATGACTGCATTCATCTTGGGGGCTATATTTTAAAATAACCCACTTAATAAGTATGCTCTTGTTGGCATACACACCACTGGGTAAGTTATTCTTCGTACATAACTCATGCTCTTGTGGGCTATTGTGCTTTCTCCAGTCACTTAGGGGGAGAAGAGATTGGAGTTAGGTACATTTTACTGAGGAAATAAAATTAAACTCAGAGTATATTTTCTTTTTTAGGTTTGACTTTTATAGGATATTAATCTCCATTTGTACATATGTTGTTTTATTTATAAAATCAAAATGAGTCAACACCTATCCCATGAGTGGTAACTTAACTAAGATTCACAAGTAATGTTTAGACAGATACTGTCAGACATCTCATAGCCATTTTTACATTCCCTCTGAACAAATTTGGTACAATGTAATTAACATTTTGATCTGAAATTTAAGGTAGTTTGTCATTTTGAACAAAATATATTCTCCGTATTATTTACATGCAACAAAATAAAAGTGGATTAACATAGTAATGCCATGGTAACTATAAAGAAATATGTCTTATGCATGAAGGCAACTTTGGATGTTTCAGCACATTTGACTTATTTTTGGTTTAATGAATGCCAGGAATGCTGCTTTATTTAGGTTACCTATGAGAAATTTTAAGAATGGCTATGAAAATATGTAGAAGCTTCTAGAAAACTGAAAGCAATGCAGTGTTGCCTTTTGTAGTCCAGGTAAATAATAGATGTCAACTGAAAATATTTTCTTTGGATTCCTGGAGTTATCAAATTGATCTTGCCATTATACTACTTTCCAGATAACTTGAAAAATATTAAATGATTCTTATCTACATAATCACAACCTGTACACATTTCATTTCCTCTCAATTTATAATAATTTCATATCTACATAATTCAAATTAAGATATTTAAAAACCAAAATAATTTGTAGCCTTTGTGATAATAATGATATATGTATGCCCAATATATGCCTTATTTTTAAAGGGTCCTATCCTATGCTGAGTCATTTTGTTGTTGTTCAGAGAAATTCAAACCTTATTCACAAAGAAAAACATTTTATAAATTCATTGTATTCTATTTAAATGAAAATGCTGAACTGTAGTTACGTTAAACTTTGTGATTAATTGCAAAGATGCCTTAGTGTGTTCCATGAAAAACACAGCATCAATATCTAACTAACTTATTGTAACTTAGTAGAATCTGCATAATAATTTTAAAGAAAACAGGTACCATTCTGTCAACTTGTAATAGTCGGGATTCTCCAGCAGTCTCAGAGCTCAGCTCTCTGACAACTTCACAGGATTTCCAAGCTGCCAGATAATCTTCATAGATGTAACTATACACAGAGATACTGTTTCCCAGATGGGAAGAGTATATAAATGTAAATTAATGAATACTCTGAGCAGCTGTACTTTTTAATCAGTTAGATTACTTTTGGAAGCACATACGTAAGGAATATTTTTTAAATCTATTTTTAAAATAGAAAAAATTCATTTCCATAGGAGCATCTTAAAATATTTTAGTCTCTTTGTGATCATTTTTACCTATTGTGAATACAAATAAGCTGGTTTAAGTGCCACATCTTTGGATACATTTTGGAGTGGGGAGCCGGCAATGGTATACAAAAATACCAAATAAAAAATTTTGCAGTGGGGGAAATACTCAGCTTCTAAATAATAAATTACAAATTTCTGTGTTTTTTTAGTCACACAGTAATTTTCTACAATATTATATATACTAAAAATAGTTTTTGTTTTTGTTTTTTACCAATGAATAATCTGAAATAGCATTGGTCTTTTTGATCTCTCAAGTATCATTATCCTCAGAGATGGGTTGCCTTTTTTTTCTTTATATTTTGGCCTTTTTGCATTTCTTTTTTAATCTTAATGCACAGAATATTTTTTATATGTGAGGCTTCAGTTTTATCAGTAGAAGTTACTCTCTTAATTCCCAATCATCAGTGAGAAAATTGTCAATTCCTGTAGCTGAAATTAGTCATAAATGAACTAAAATAAGACTGATGGAATAAAAAATATACATAATACTATAAAATACATAACAACTTATGGTGTGATAAGTAAATTATAGCAATGTATAAGAATAAATGAGCCCTTGCTTCCACAATAAAAACAAAATGTACTCCTGCATTAAGACAGCTTTCTTTGTGAATAAGAGCAAAATAGTCTTCAAAGGAGGTAACTTCATTTAAAGCCATTTCTGTGAACCCCTTTCCAAGTTAGGATGTAATGAATTGAGGAAATAATTTGAAAAAGGCAAATACTTGATTTCAGGCCCAAAAAGGACATGGGCAGATAGGCAATTAGCATTGTACATTGCCTTTGAGAACCTGGGCCTTAATTTATATATATGTATATATATATAATGGCACTGTGTTCTTCTACCTTCAGTTGTCTGTATTAGTCTATATTAAAATTTAGCGCGTAAGTATTATTTTTATATTCTGTCAGTTTTTTAAGTTGCATGTTTATACTGTTTGCCACAGTGTTTTTGAGTTGTAAGTGAAGGCTGTCAGCTGTATCAAAAAGACACAACAATCACTATTTATTCTAGTCTTGCTGCTTTACGTTTCCCGGTCAAGCTTTTGATGCCAGGACAGTGACTGCTGAAAGCTGCAGGAGCTCTTTCCAATGCATTTTATATATTTTTAGAAACCAAATAAATGCAGATAACTATTTAGTATACTAATTATATTAAACCAGCAGAAATATAAAGGCAATAAAGTATATACATATATATGAGGGGAGGGAAAGATGAAAATTATAGATTTACAGCCAGACATGGTAATAGCCCTAAATGTATCTCTTAATGACTTCCTTCACTGACCCTAGGAGGATTTGAGTTGCTGCAGCTTTAAACAGAAAATTGCCACGTTCACTAATTGTGGGCCATAAATATGCTTTTAGTACTGCTTTGCTTATGTACAAAGAAAATATCTGTAATATGTACTGTATGTAACTATTTTCTTTTGACTTTCATTTCAAAATGAATATTTTCTGATTATTATCATGAGCTGTAAAGCAAAAGATCAATATCTGATATTCTCCCAAATAATAAATTTTCAGGATTCATTGGGGCAGTTGTTGGTTTGTTGCTTATGTGTCTTGTATCTTAAAAGATAATTTTATTTCCTTTCAAAGATGCCAAGGAAAATGGATCTACGTATCAGTGACCCAAAACTGTGTATTTCTTAAATGTAATACTAATTGTTACTATTAAAGAATGAGCTATCGCTCCTATGGTAGCTGCTTCACCAAGGTGGTACTTAAGAAACTAATATGCCTCTTCATTTCAAACAAGGGAGCAGAAAAGTTCTTCTTTAAGCACTGGAGACACTTGTCACACTCAAACACACAGCCACCCAGGGAGCAGCTCCCAAGTCGTGGCTGATGGGTGTAGGTGCAGCAGTGAATTTACACCTTCCGGCCCCCGCAGCACTTTCCTGTATCCCACAGTAGCATCGTTTAAACTCTGTAGTGCCCGGTGTCTGCACCCTAATCACCTTCTAATGTAGAAGCACATAAATCTTATGGGAATATTTAATATTCCTATGATATCTGGTATATGTAGTAGAAACAGCTTGATCAAGAAATCATATATGAGTAAATAATATAAAAGCAAACATAAATGAGAAACTTTGAATTAAGTATTTACCCTACATGCTAGCTGGGGAACTTCTAGAGTTTAACTCTCCATCCTGACCCCCCGTAAAGTCATGTGTTGTGTTAACGACACAGTAAGAAACAGCGTGCCCAGACCGGGCAGTGTACCTAACTAAGGAAGGGCTGGTGGAGTCTTCAGTGAGCCCGACGGCTGCCGACGCTGGACTGAAAGTAGCGCAGCCCTGCCTCTACCTCAAGGTGGCTGCAGTCTAAAGAGCAAGCGCCAGCCTCACTATAACATGTTAAGCACAATTAAAGGGGCGAGGACAGCATGCTGTGGAAACTCAACAGAAGGGGCTCCCCCAGCCCAAGGGGTCAGAGACCCCGGAGAAAGCAGTTGAACCAGGAAGGGCTGCCTGGCAGGCCTGGAAGGTGGGAGGGTGAAGAAGCTGTGGCCAGATGGCGAAGAGCAGGGAGGGCTGAGAGAGTGGGGAGGTGGGCGTCAGGCCATGCAGGGCCTGGGCTGCCGTAAGGAGTGTGGGCCTCATCCAGGGGGCCGCAGGGGAGCTTTAAGCGCAGAAATGGTCAGATCAGCGTAGGAAGGAAGATGGGTCTGGCCGGCAGCATGGTGAGCTGACTGGATCAAGGCCATGTCCAGAGGCCAGGAAGGCCGCTCGGGAGGACGAGAAGCCAAGCCAGAGACGATGGTAACTTGAACAAGTAAGAAAGTAGCTGTCAGCTTTATTCATGGAACAAATTTTTACTAAACACCTTTGGGCCAGGGAAAGAATGTAGTTGAGCAGGTTGGAGACACCCTAAGTAGACAGCAGTGAAGACTGAGTATTCAAGTAGGCGTGCAGAATAAAAAACGCAATGTCAGGTGTTGTAACAGCGACTCACAGCCTTAAGTGGCTGGTGGCAGTGGTGCTGTGGGTCTCCTGATGCCAACTGTTCACAGATACTCTACTTTGTGTGCTGGCAAGCAAGAGATTAGTACATGAGGAAGAGAGAGAATAAAAATAGGGAGAGCATATTATGTATTCCAGAGTGGACCTTCCATGGGCTTCCCCCCTGTAGAGTGCCCTAGGAGAATGGCATGGACTTGGAGGAGTCTCATTTTGCTCCAGATTTAACCATCCAAATCCCTTCAGTCAGTATATTAGAATATGTTTCCTCAGTGTGATACTAAAGTGTGTTCTATATCAACCACATTCATTCACCTGCACCGTGTGTGTCCGGGGTGACAGAAGGGCCTGACACAGTCTGAAATGAAATGAAGAAGGTGGACGGTGTAAGCTCATCCTTATGCAAAGCCAATACTTAAAAGTTTCCCACAACTGCAGGATGTATGACAGTCAAATAATTTGGAATAATAAGTAGCAAAAGGCTTTTAAGCATAAAGCAAATCATAGACACATTAAGCAAAGAACACAGCAGTAGACACCACAAGAGGCTGGGTAGTGTGGGGAAGGGTACAGAGTGCGCACCAAGAAAAACTCTGCCAAGGGGCAGGGTCCCTGGAGACAGGAAATTGTTGCACAGCTGTGAAGCACTTCTGCCGTCATCTCAGCAATGCCAGCTGCATCGGGACTTGGGGCCCACCCCATCTTGGGCCACTTCTACAAATCAAAAAAAGGTCTGCTTTTATGGAACCAAATCGATTTCCCTGTAATTTCAACTTTCCTTAAGGCCACGGAAAGGAACAATTTCTCACCAGTGTGACAGCATTTCAGATATTTGGAGACATCTATCATGTCCCCTTGTTTTCCTCTTTCCCAGGCAAAATACTCCCAATTCTTTGAAATACTAGCTTCTAGTCCCTCCTCAGCCAGTGCTGCTGATAAAACTCCATTTGTGACTGGATTGAGTCAATACAGGAGGCTTGATTTACTGTAATGCTGCTTAAAACTAAACTGGATTTGTTGGATTTTCTTTTTTTGAGTCTCATTGAATCATTGAACTGGCAGTTTACTAAAATCCCATCTTTTTCATACTTTGTGCTCTCAGTGAAATCCCCAACTTGAGTGAATGTAATTGAGTTTCTGAATGCATGTATAGCAGCTTACTTTATCCAAACTGTTACCTCTAAAAACTGGAAGCAATAAATTCTAGAAGGAAATGGTGGGCATTAATGTCATGAGGTAACATGAGGTTAATTTTGTCCAGAGCAGAGTTCTACAGAAATGCACAAGAGCTGAGTAACAGGGAAGAATCAGAGAAGGCTCCACTAAAGCGGTTGAGGCCCTCAAAGGTAAAATGGCCGCCACACACTTGTGTCTATTGAATGGCAACTCTGGTTGGCCCTGAATCTAGAACAATGAACAAAAAAGCCGAAAGTCTCTGCCAAAACGGAGCTTTTATTCTAAAAAGAAAAACATGGTGAACGAAGAAGCAAAGTACATAGTATCTTTTGTTTTGGACAGCAAAGGAGAAAAAACAAAGCAGTAAAGAAGTGCAAAGTCACAAGTTTCAGTTTTATATAAGTGGCTTACAACAGCCTCTTAGATGCTTCTCAGAAGACGCAGTACAAATGGGCAATAAATAGATGAAAAGAAATTCCACATATCTGGCCCCTAGAGAAGTGAAAATTAATGCAGAGAATCCATCTTACCCCAGGGAGAATGGCCATCATCAAGAAATCGAATAATAACAAATGCTGCTGAGGCTTCAGGGGAAAAGGAACCCTTCTACGCTGTTGGTAGGAATGTAAACTGGTACAACCACTGTGGAAATCGGTATGGAGATTCCTCCAAAAACTAAAAGTAGAAATTCCATTTGACCCTTATTCCCCTTCAAGCTAACATTCAGAACGAATTAAAGACACATGAGTGATAGATACATGAATACTCAGGCACGTGGCAGCACTCAGGAATAGGAACCTGAATACTCAGGTTCCTACATTGTGGAAACAGCTTATATATCCATCAACAGATGAATGGATAAAGAAAATTTATCCATTCATGTTTATCTGCAATAAGTGCCACTCTGCCATAAAGATAAACGAGTCATCTGTAGGAAAATGGATACACCCTTAGACCATGTTACATAGTATAAATCAGACACATAAGCTTACATATCACACGGTTTCTCATATAAGAAATCCAAAATACAGTACTGTATAAAGAGCAAACTAAAAGATAATAGTAAAAATGAAATAGATCTTTTTGCAAATTAAGATGTGTTATGTACATGTACCAACTTCCCACAATGAATGTAACCATTATATACTACCAACAGGTACTTTAAAAAAAAAAAAAAAAAAAAAAAGATGCCATTGATGGTAAGATTTGAAGTGGAGGTAGGCCAGGTAGAGATGAGGCATGTGGCCACACACCCCACATCAGACTTCAGCAAGAGGTTGGAGGTGCTTGGGAAGCCTGTGGCATCCCGCATTCTGTTTCTAAGCAACTGATTCAGAATGGATAGGCTTCTCCCGGCTGGAACCCATTAACTGAACCCTTGGACTCCTTACTTATTTAGACTGTCGTCTCAAGTATCGTGGAATGCAGGAGGAAGTTATTTTAAAGGTATCAAGCAAACAGGTCAAATCTGCATTGAATTACTCCCTCCGTGTTTCAAATTAAAATCAAACTCACAGATAAAAATGATCTTTCATGAAAGACACAAAGCTGGCCTGCTCTGTTTTACAAAAGAGTGGCCAGAGGAACAGCCTTTAGATCAAAGGTGCTTTCTTTTACTGGATGGATCCTTCCAAACAGCAGCTTTATAACCTGATACGTATATATATAGACATGTATTTTTAAACTCAAAATCTTAAAGTCAAGCCATTGTTAGGCACTGTTTTGTGAAGTTAAATGAATATTTCTAGGAGGCCCTAACAAAGAGATTTTCAACAAATGTCCAAATTATAAATGATAACCCAAGTAATCCTCCTAACTCTGTGTTCTTGCAGCTCTTTTCTGTTTTATTTAGGAATCATCATTCTTTCTGACAAATAGAAGTCGGAGGAGTAGATATCACACTACACACCCAGGCAACAAAAGGAACAGTAATCGAGTTGGATGCATTAACTGGAAAGCTGCCGCACGCCAGTCAGAGTATTTGCGAGCCATGTGTCTGAAAAGGAGTCACTATCCAAATTATAAGGAATTCAAAGAGCTTAGGAATGGAAAATACATATCCAATTTAAAAATGAACAAAGGACCCCAAGAGTCATTTTTCCAAATACCTAAAAGTGCCAAACATGTATGGGACTAATCATCAGCAAAATACAAAGCAAAGCCATGTGCCAGCTCACACCCATTAGGTTACACCACCATTATTAAAAAGCAGTGACTTGGCACAGTGGCACCTACCTGTCATCCCAGCTACTTGGGAGGCTGAGGCAGGAGGATCATAAGCTCAAGGACACTTTGGGCAATTTAGCAAGACCTGGCTCAAAAGAAATAAAAATGACTCTGTGCAAAGGCCCTGGGATAAATTCCCCATATGGGGGAAAAAAGATAAGGTAAAAATG